TGTCTACGATGATTTAGATTAAATTAAAGAGTGTTTATCAACAACTCTGTTAGTTTGTTAATATAATTAAATATTTTTATAAAATTATATAAATATTTATCTCTTCTTGATTCATGTATATGTGAAAATCACATACATATAATTAACTAGTCAACATGTAAAATACATTATTATATTATACTACATACATGTACAACTTGCTTTGTTTACTAAAATCTTGCTTTGTTTACAATAATCTTGTTTTAAACATGTAAATTACATGTAGGCCTATATATTGTAGCCATTATAGGCCTACAGTTATACAAGAAATCAGTAGGAAATGAATGGAATATCTACAGGGCCTTCAGTTATACAAGAAATAAGATCAGTAGGAAATGAATGGAATATCTAGAGAGCCTTCAGTTATACAAGAAATAACATCAATAGAAAATGAATGGAATATCTACAGGGCCTTCAGTTATACAATAAATAAGATCAGTAGGAAATGAATGGAATATCAAGAGGGCCTTCAGTTATACAAGATATAAATAACACCAGAAGGAGATGCTTCAATGGTTATTTTGAGACTAACATATGTTGTTTTTTTCATTTTGAGACTAACATATGGTTTTTTTTCACTTCAATGGCTATATGTGTAGTGACAGAGAAACAAATATAACTGCCAAGGGATATTTTAAGGGCATGCCAATGTATACACTAACAACTACATGGACAATACTTTCTACGTCCGGCCTATGGGTGCTGTAACTGACAAGTGAGAGCCAAGCACCAGGAGGTTAGTGAGCCACTGTGGCTCCCCTATGAAGCACATGTATAGGGGACTATAGCAGTGGGAGGAAACCGGAGAACCCGGAGAAATTTAACCCACAAGGTTGGACAGGTACAACCAGGGAATCGAAACCACGACAGTGGACTCATTGACAGACCTTATGATACAACGCGCACACACTAACCATTCAGCAATCCAACCCCCCCTGAAGTATGTATGACCTATTTAACATGTAACATTAGTAAAACTCCCAGTGACTGTCAAAACAAACACTCTGATGATCACCCACCAACAAAAATCACTCTTATCTGGTGAAAATAGGCCATTTTACAACGTACATTTACTAATTTAATTATTCATGTTAAAGCAGACATGTTTTATCTTTCTCAACAAATCTATTAATTTACATTAAATACGAGATTTGAATTAATCAACTTCAATAATATATCTATTATAAGCTAATTTAAACATGATACGTGTATACATGTACACGAACCAGGTCCAGAGTAAGCTTCATTGTAGGTCCCCTGGCTGAAAATCTCACCGGGGCACTGGCATCAACAGTGTAAAAGTGGCATATTCTAGCCATTATCTATCGCACTTACACAATTGTAATTTGTATATATCTGTATGGTTGATAGATGTAGATAGTTTGATTTGGCACAAACTAATACAACTTAATAAATAAAATATATTTACTTCTTTTTTTTTAAACTAATTTGGGGGCCCGAGCTACAGCATAGTCAGCGGAGTCAGCCCCTCCCTTAATCCAGAAATGAAATGAAATGGAGTTTAACGTTCTACTGTTCTGCTCCTACCCTGGGCTACAGTGTGCTATGAGGGAAATTTTGCCCAGACAGCGGCACTACGGCCTACTCTTATATCGAATTCTAACTGCCAAGGGATCTTTTACGTGCACGCCAATGTGTACACAGGACCTCGGTTTTTCGTCCCATCCGAACGACTAGACAGCTGTCCTTGTCAGACTCTCCGTTCTGCACCACTGACAAGGGGAAACCACGTCGGAAAATCTGGATGAACTTTCTCGGCCAATGCAGGGATCGAACACCCGACCTCCAGGCTAGCGAGCTAGCGTCTTACCCACTTAGCCACGTGATTCCCCCCTTAATCCAGACCTGACACACATACATACATATAACATTCCTGTTAGCCATGTTGGGCGAGTGAGATCACTAACGTGGGCGGTCCATCCAACACGTATGTTCCATCCCTGTATAGACCGATATGGTTGTCTTTCATTTTGCTATGAGTATGAATTTATTCAGTTTGGTTTTTTCTTTTTTAAAAAAAAAGCATCCAGTTCAGTCCAAAGTTAAAAAATGTCAGCTGTACTATTTGAATAGTGTTTGACATTTCGTCATTATTTCCCCCGACACGCTATTCAACACTCCATGATATACTGATCAGACATGTCTACAGATTGTCAACAGTTTTACCAGTCTAGCTACATGTACCGGCTAGTATCTACATACATGTATATACCGGTATATAATACACTAAAGAGAGAGATAGAGAGAGAGAGATGGGGTTTAACGTCCACTCAACACAAACTAGGTCATTTCGGGACTAACATATGGTTTAATTTTATTTCAATAATTCGTTTACGCATAGCGGTCTTTAGCAGTGGGAGGAAACAGGAGGACCCGGAGAAAACCCAAGAGGTTGGACATGACGCTACTCCTTGTCACATACAACCGGGGATTCTATATAATAATACACCAATTGAGTAATAACCTGTAAATATATCACAGTAATCAACAGTTACATGTATGATATACATATATATACATTGTACTGGTACTTTATACTAGATACCAGACTCAGAGTTCATAAAGTATTCTCTGGCTTATATTAACGATTTACTGAAAATTGTCCGCATTATTTTAACTAAAATATAGCCCTTTTATAAAACTTTTGCTGTTTTAATGTATCAAATACATTAATAAGAAACTATGTGCACAGTTTTGTCTTTCTGGATCAAAGATGTTTCTCATAAACAGTGATTAAAAGTTGAGTAAATTTGTAAGTCTGAGAATGGTTTGTGAAGTCAGGGCCAGTCTACATGTAGTATGCTACTGTAGATGTATGATATTATGTAACGGTACTTTATAATTATTATTACTAATATTCACAAAACTCAATCGTTATAATATCACAGTACTTTCTAGTTATACTACATGTTACATATACGTATAATATATGTATACGGTACTAATATAATATGTATATATCACAGTTAATCACTTTCTAGATATACTACATGTACATGTTACATGTACGTATAATATACCAGTCTAGTTAAACATACATTATGCACGAGCTAAATCTGCCAATTGCAGGTCTTTCTTTAGGCCTGAAATGTTATCTAAATTATTAATTAGACAATAATTAACTTATCCAGACCCTAATCAACTCTCAATGTCATCGCTAGCCTGCTATATTTACTGGATTGTAACCCGGTCTTCTGCTTTTGATTAAATCAAAAAATGGATAATCGAGACTATGTTTTTATCGTACCGACTTTAGTAATGATGATCAAGGCTAGGTCCAAAATTCAATCGCTAAATTCTTGGTTCAGAGTGGATCAATTTAACTGAAATTTTCAGCATATTCCCTTTACATTATCAAGTTTTTAATTATTATAGTGAGAACTACCAGTTCTTTATCTAATCTTTCATACTGTATATTTAAGATGTACAGCTACACGTATAATATATCAGTACTTTAAACGAGGACTGGATATCGATATCGGCAACATCAATATTTTTCACCAGCCCTACTTAACTAGTTATGTTACATGTACGTATAATATACCAGTCTATTCAAGATGTATTTATACATTGTACCCTGATTACAGAATAATAAATGGCGAGAAATTAGAGAATTATTTATAAATCGCATCACAGTGAATAATTGATAAATGTAGTAATTACATTGGTTATGGTGTAATGGTGTACTGTATAAGGTAATTTGTAATATTACATTGGCTATGGTCTACTCTACATAATTTAGTTTCTAGTTCCGATAATGCATGAAGCAAATTAGTAATTATAGTTTACATGTAGGTGGTCTATCAACTGGTCCGAGTGGTGTATCAACTGGTCCGAGTGGTGTATCAACTGGTCCGAGTTGTCTATCAACTGGCCAGAGTTGTCTATCAACACTCCTTATTATGACATAACTCTTCTTCTTGTGATAGAACTCTCCTTTAGTCCTTATTAAAAAATCTCTAAAAAATAACGACTGTCTCTTAATCATTTTGAACTTCATTTCAACCTATCAACTAATTACATTTTAATTAAACTAGTCTTTGATAAGGTGTGGTTCCTATTTCTTATTTATTTATAGTTTTATCTTTTACTTTGTTAAACTATTATTATTTATTTATTAGGTTACAGGCCTTCATGTGAATAAATTCAGGAAAGCGACATCGCTCACGCTCCTTTTACATGAAGGCCTGGATCTACCCAGGTGTGTTTCGAACACTGTATGGTATATCATTAGGTCTACCCAGGTGTGTCAAGTCCTGTATTATATAGTATTTATGTCCAAACCTTTACTAGTATTATTAGTAACGATGTCCAAAATGACATGGCCAATTAAGATGTCTTTTGTATAACTGAAAAATAAACTGCATGGACAACATAGATCTTTGAAGTTCTTATTACTGTTCCTAATTAATTTAACTTTGTGTGGCTGAAACATGACACTAATCAGTAATACTGTAAGATAGCAATTAGATAGGTTGTTATTAATAATACATAATTACTGTCATCATCAGCGGACAGCGGTTGAATGTATTTTAACTGGAGCCAGTTGGAAGAAATTATAGGTGAACCAATTTATAAATAGTGGGAGGGGGGGGGCAAATAGGCCCAAATATATAAATAATATTAAATAACCATTTGGATAATAAAGGAAAGGGACAGGCGACAAATTTTATATGAGTTGTGATTTTACTTTGAATTGATCTCGGCCTTTCACCGGGATTCCAGAAGAATTATTCTCTCTGGCTGTCACCCAACAGTTTTGCTATGGTTTAGTGTAAATACGTGTATCAATACGAGAATGTTTTAAACATTAACACACAGAGAAGAGGATGGGGAGATAGACAGCATGCACATATATTAGTGGTGGTGAAACTGGTTCAAGCTTGCGTTTGAGAGATGTGTTGATTGAACGAACGAAGAGAATAAGAATGAGGACTCACCTCTTTCGCCTGTTTGGCCAGAGCGCAGCTCCACAAGACCAGCAGGGTCGTTAAAAATACAATACACTTCGGGAGCATAACTCCTTATTTCACAAAATATCTAAATAAAACCTTCTTAATCCAATGACTAGCCGTATAATCCAAGAATATTTGACGAAAATAAGATCAATTTAGCCTTTCGTTAGTTAGAGATCACTACCACTAAAACTGTCTTTCACAAAGTCGAGCCGACTCACACCTAAAATATCAGTACGCAGTGAGAAGTAATTTCTCGTCTGTTGATCCGCTCGTGAGGAACTAGCGACTTTTATATTTAGATTTGCCACGGGAATCAATTATTTGACTCTTTTTTTAAATATAAAACAGGAAATTTTATTTTATCTTTTGAGGAAATGCAAAATAAATTTAGATACTGGAAATTAATACAGAGTTTCTGTTTCGTTGGGAATGATGAAGGCTGGATAAAAATACATTGTCTCGATTAACCAGACACTATTCTCGATACCTTGTCAATGACTGACGGATAACATCGCATAGGCTTGTGAATGAAGCGGCTGTTAATTAATTAAGAGAGACACAATCGCGTGATTAGCTCGTTCGATCGAAACCAACCTTCCACAGTTCATGTAGTCGTGGTGGCTTCATTAAATGCAGAGACAGTGATGGGGTTTAACGTCCACTCAACACAATCTAGGCCATTTCGAGATTAGCACATGGTTCAATTTTATTTCAATAATTCGCTTGAGCACAGCCGTCTTTAGTAGTGGGAGGAAACGGGAGGACCCGGAGAAAACTCACGAGGTAGGACAGGCGACTCTACTCCTTGTTACGTACGATCCGAGAATCAAAACCACGACACGTCTTGACTCAATGGCAAACCTCGTGATCTAAAATACACGTTTTAAAGCATTCGTCCACCAAAACCCCCAAGTTAATTAAACAAAATGAAAGGAGGTTTAACGTCCTGAATTTCTGCACTAGGCTAAAATGAAGACGGAAATTCAAGCCATGCAGTATGATGGACGGATTGACGTCACAAGTACACACGAATCGATGACGTTTTAGTTTTCGTATTCGTTTTCGAACCGGTCCGAAAGGTCCCTAATAATATCTGATCACATACGAAATCTATTCAGTTCCGAGTGGCATACAATCCGCGGAAATGGCATATAAAACTTCACAGGGAAGGTTGAGGGATAGCTCAGACACCGCACTCGCGCGATTAGATCGATTATCGTGAAACTTTCAACTGGAATTTGATTTTTTTTTCTCTCTCTTTGCCATGAACCGCGGGTCCCCCTTAACCGCGGGTCCCTAGGCCTGTGTCCCTCAGGCCCATGCCTAAGCTGGGCTTTGACGTTTCGCGGCCGCGCTCCACCCCTCCCCCACATTTGTATCTATGAAATTAAAGGACAATTTTGGTGCCAGTCATTATCACATATGTGATAGAAATGAAATGAAATGAAATGAAATGAAATGGGGTTTAACGTCCTACTGTTCTGCTCCTAACCTGGGCTAATGAAGACGGGCATACGCCATACAGTGTGCTATGAGGGAAATTTTGCCCGGACAGCGGCACTACGGCCTACTCTTATATCGAATTCCAACTGCCAAGGGATCTTTTACGTGCACGCCAATGTGTGCACGCCAATGTGTACACGGGACCTCGGTTTTTCGTCCCATCCGAACGACTAGACAGCTTTCCTTGTCAGCCCCTCCGTCCTGCATCACTGACAAGGGAGAACCACGCCGGAAAATCTGGATGAACTTTCTCGGCCAATGCAGGGATCGAACACCCGACCTCCAGGCTAGCGAGCTAGCGCCTTACCCACTTAGCCACGTGATCCCCCATATGTGATAGAGCTGGTTAAACACATTCAAAATATAATATTAACACAGAGATCATTGCTACGATAGCTGAGTAATACAGGTTTCCTGAATCGGAAGTGACGAACGCCAAAGGAAAACACGAGTCATCACTCCATATAACTGACTAATGTGACGAGTGATAACAGATACACGGCCGAATTTCTGCTCACTAATAATTCCTTCGAAGACCAAAAGTTGTTATATGGGACTGTAAGAAGATACCTGAAAATTCAATAAAGTAATTGAATGTCATTAGATAAGAGAACACGAGAAAAATAGAAATAGTCCGTACATTCCCTTGTTTATTTTCATTCTATACCTTATAAAAACATGGTAATGCACGGACTTTTTCTTTCGTGTTCTCTTATCTAGTGACAGTCAATTCTTTTTATGAATTGTCCGATATCCTCTCACAGTCTCACACAACAACTATTGGTCTTGGAAGGAATTATTAGTGAGTAGAAATTCGCTCATGTATCTGTTATCACTCGTCACTTCAGTCAGTTATATAGAGGGATGGCTCGTGTTTTCCTTTGGCGTTCGTCACTTCCGATTCAGGAAACCTGTATAACTCAGCTATCATAGCAATGATCTCTGTGTTAAAATTATATTTGGAACATGTTTAATTAGTTCTATCACATATGTGATAATGACTGACACCAATATTGTCCTTTAACCAGCATGACCCGGTGAATGAAATGCTAAACGATTATGATACATTACTATTTCAATAATTCACGTGCGCCCCGCGCGGGGTCGTTCTGGAGACTAACATGGTAGCACGCCCCGGGGTCGTTCTGGAGACTAACATGGTAGCAAATCCTGAATCGTTTAAAATGATCGGTCCAGCGACGGATTAACCACGGATTGAGCATATAGGATAGGGGAATGCTCACTCGTCCGCAGGTTCACTAGTCCGCGGGTTCATTAGTCAAGCGATATCTATTATATCGGTTCATTAGTCCAGCGATATCTATTATTAGGGGTTGGGTTAGGTTTCTTGATACCCATATTTATAGTATTTCTTATAGCGTAAAGCGGCAGACTAATGGACCCATCTCTCCCCAACATATCACAAGTTACCAGAACTTAGGCAGTATTATTCCACACATATATGCATGTGACAACATTAAACATAATTTGAAGTCGGTCAGTGATAAATAACGGGGAGGCCTTGATACGGAGAATCATATCCACGAAGGCCGTCACGTTACGACATATTATAGTAACCGACAGGGGTCAATTGTGTGTGCAAATTTTCATGACGATTCAACAGGACGTGGGTCAAATGAAACTAAATATGAAGTTATTTTTCGGCGCGATTTCTACCGGTGGGGGACATGAATAATCAAGAACCCACGGCTGATGTATGATACACGATGAAACAAACAACCCCAACACTCGCATAAAAGGATCCTAAAGTTTGCAATCCCCGCAAAATTCCTCATAGCCCGACCCAAAACGTGAAATAATGTAAATAATGTAGTCTATACATATCATACGCACCAAACTATCAAATAATTAGAGTCTAGGGGATAAACGCCGAAGAATACGAGCCCGGCAGAAACCAACGTTCCTCGATTCACCGGCAACAAAAAAAAAATAGTACGTCCCGAGACTAGCAGGGACAATGTTGACAGATCCTGCGCTCAAAATTCGAATCTAAATGGGTTCAATGTTATTTTGATTTCACCTCCAAGTAGCACAACAAGTTGTAACCAAAATATTGCCACTAAAGAAGGTTTTTATGTTTCTTCTTGATACATTTTTCCCGCTAAATAATCAAAAAAAAAAAAAAAAAAAAAAAAGAAACACGGATACCATCGAATGTGCGATGCGGCCTCGTCGGATTACACCGAATTCTCGGATGTCAACCGGAACACGGGTTCACTATTATATGAAGGGACACCAAATCCGATGAAAGGCCTCGTGTATCGGGTATCTAGCCGCGGAGGATTCCATTTCTGCCCAGGCAGATGGAGTCATCGGGCCGAACATGCTCGAATCGCTTCTACGCAACTAAAAAAAAATGTGAGGGAGCTGGGCTGATGTGAGGGCCATGGGGCCTGGACAGCACCGTGTCCCGTGGTTAATCCGTCACTGGATAGGGATATACATGGTAGCGACTCCTGGATCCTTTGAAATGATGCACGTGCTAACACGCCACTGCTAAAAGCTGATCATGACTCACGCTAGTATGACACAACGTTTTGGAAATATTGGGGTTGTACGTGACAAGGAGTAGGGTCGACTGTCCAACCTCATGGATTTATCCGGGTCCTCCGGTTTCCTCACACTGCTAAAGACCCCTACACGCAAGCGAATTATTGAAATAGAGTTGAACCATATGTTAGTTTGAAATAACCTAGTTTGTGTCGAGTGGACGTTAAACACACTCTCTCCACAAGTATTTAAAACGGAAGAAAATGAAATGAAATGAAATGAAATGGAGTTTAACGTCCTACTGTTCTGCTCCTAACCTGGGCTAATGAAGACATGCATATGCTATACAGTGTGCTATGAGGGCAATTTTGCCCGGACAGCGGCACTACGGCCTACTCTTATATCGAATTCCAACTGCCAAGGGATATTTTACGTGCACGCCAATGTGTACACGGGACCTCGGTTTTTCGTCCCATCCGAACAACTAGACAGCTTTCCTTGTCAGCCCCTCCGTCCTGCATTACTGACAATGGGAAACCACGCCGGAAAATCTGGATGAACTTTCTCGGCCAATGCAGGGATCGAACACTCGACCTCCAGGACGGAAGAAAATGGTTAGAACAACATTTCATTCTCTCTCCCTACACTTTCTATAAACGCTTGCCCAACCTGACATTCCATACAAATGAGGAATATTTATTATGTTGAATAACATAGTCCGGTTGCTACAAACGTGCTATAAAACGCGGTTTAATTCATTCGGAAATCATGACTGCCCAGGTGAGCAGTTTTAAATGACGAGTGACTGGTTAACCGAAAACACATGGGAATGCCGAATTGTTGCGCTGTGATATAAATAGACCAGTCTACGTTTACGTCATAGGAATTTCCGCTGCACCTGAAGGAGTTAGTCAACGTAAACAATATCGCTGATCCCACGGGAATGTCGTTGTTTAGTTTCGTTTCGGAAGGCGTAGTGAAACATTTATAAAATACTACCTTATAAATAACAACACGAGTAAGAGAATAAACTAGCACAATAAAACATGATTAATATTTAAATTTGAAGGAAGGACGGAAGAAATAAAGAAACATGCCTAGTATTATTACGTGTATCGACGAAATTTCATGATTTTGAGGGTGCGGGGGGATAGGCCGAACGATTTACCCGCCCAACACCTGCACATACTAACTCATTATTGGGCTAAATCTATTTGTTAAGG